TTCTAAAAAAAGGAGAATCCAAATTGTCATCTAAATATCATGTGCAATTGATATGTGTAATTAATCGTATTGTATGGAACGCGAACTTACCCTTATTTCTGAAGAAAATGGCGCAGCCATTATCGCTTCCGAGAAGAACGATCTTATTGTGCTTCGGCCCGATATCCACGACCGATCCTTGAGTGAGACCATGTCTCAGATTCTCTGCCTTGATCGCGAAGAGTCTGTTAGATCCCAGGTAGGTGAAATATAACACTGGTGTACCGCAACTCTTCTTCACCAGCGTCACGTAGAGAACATCCCTTCGTTGGACACCAGTGGTAACAGCGTTCGGGAGGATCACTCGATATCCCTTTTCCCCGGTGACGTTGTAAACGATGATGGATCTGGCAGCAGCGTCGGTTACGTACACGTATACCTGGCCGTCGTCTGCGTAGTCGACCGCCAGATATTGCAGACGAGACATCGGAGTTACTAAGTTACTCAAATCGATCACCTTCACGACCTGTAGGACATCAAGTTTCAACGTGAATCTTTTGTTCCGAAACAATTCTATCTACCATTATGAATAAAATGTTGATTTTAAATAATAAAAATAATAAAATAATTACGATTTTAACAAAATTTTCTCCCCTTCTTGGCTATAGCTTAAGAGTAAATAAATTCTATTCTAACAATTTTCGAAATCAGAATTATGTAATAAACAATAGGAAAATAGATGACATTATTATCTATCTTAAAAAGATGTTTTTATCTTTATCACTCATCAAGCTTTCGAATTTATTTAAAAGACTTTTGCCATCAAATATTTTTTTTCTTTTATGACGTGAACTATCCGAGATAATCATAAGCTACTATCAAGATGCTATTATCAAACGGTCGCAATTCTCATTTGGAAAATAATTATAATCATTGCGGAGCTAGCTGTACACTAATTAGAAACTCGGCTTGTGTTTTCAACACGCTGGTAATTATTAATTTTTTTTACCTTTCCAGATTTCACGTCAATTCCGACGATTTTCGGGGGGCACCTGCGCACCGGTTGCTCCAAAGTGTTTACGATACCAACGTCCAATACCCACAGGATCTCCTGAATGTCCAGAGCTATGTCCACTACGTTCTGCAGGGCCTGGCAGTTGCCCTCTTCCTGGATCGCCCAGCAGGGGAACGGTGTCACCTTCGGCGTGCAATCCTTCGTTTTCAACGACATGACACCCAGGGTGAACGGCACGCCCGGTTTGTAGCGCGGCATCGCTAAAATTATGTCGTCCCGGTAAACTTGCGCCCTCGTGGAAATGACATTCCTGGCGATGTAACGTCCGCTCGTCTCGTAGATGTTCTTCGTGCTTTGACATGGCCAGTCCAAACTGTGGCCCGACAGGGAGAACAAGAACTCCGGCAACAACTGCTTGCTGTTGTCGCACACCACCGACGATAAGCCACTCGCCAGGATCACCAGGCACAGAGCGCTCCTCGGGATTCTCATCCTGCGCTCGTCTTTTATCACACGTTGTAGTAACGTCCCGGTGCTCTAAAAAACACAGAGGATAAATTTAGTCATTAAACTTTTCTGAAAGGAATACTCCAAAATTATAGATATATTAAATTGAGAAATAGATATTAGATTGATATTAGATTGATAAGAATTAAATGATTGTGAATCTAAATAAATAACTATGCAAAATACAAGTCTACAATTGCTTTACAAATTTAGATGTCCGTAAATTTTTTGAAGTATTAAGAAAATATATAAAAAATATATATATATATATATAAAATAATATATAGATATATTACTATAAATATATTACTACATCATGCATAATAAAAGCTGATTTTTGTATATATACATAAAATTTAAAAAAATTTTAAGCTTGAAGAAGTAAGTAAAATTAGATCAATTTATTTTATATGAAATAATAATACAAAACAATTGTATTAAATACGCGGTGATGTGAAAACTTACAAGATTTCCCGTTGTAATCAGGGCGAAATTTTTTGAAAGTGCGAATCATTTATACAGCTTTATACTTATATATACGTCGACAATGCTTACATTTTTATCATATATCACTGTCTCCTCCTACGCAATATTTTGCAACGGCTTTCTTCCTCAAGGTTAACAGAATTAAAGACGAAATATTTCGCGATATGCATTTTTATTTTTATTTGTAAATATGACGAGTCCAGGAAGCCGCGAAAAATGGAATGCTTTAGAACGCGGTAAAACAGGAAATGCAATGTACCAGGAAATTATCTCGTCTGTTTTCATTAATTTATTGCATATTTCCGACTTCCGCTTTTATAAATTTCTCTAATACTTATTATTCAATTTATTCATTTCTTATTTTCTTCAATTCTAGTATTTTATCTAAATTATTTAATACATATCTCAATTTTTATAAAACGTATAAATAGGCGAATAAGTTTATTCCTGCCGTACATTAATTAAGCTTCTTGCCAATAATTATTCTATTTATTTAAATAAAATTTTATATATTTTATTCTTATTCTATTATAGTAAATTAAAAATGTAAAAGAATCTCTCTGAAAATGTTTGTATTCTATATCTTCCATATTCTTGTATGATGTTCAAATAAATACTATATCATACTTATTTCCAATATTTTCCTTATTTTTATAATTATAAAATATTACGCTTTTAACACAAAACTTAATGTTTAAATACATCCTCTTTATTCTTTTTTTATTTTGTAGAAAAAGAAAATATTCTTGTGCTCGTGAAACGTGTTGCGTACATTAAGAGAAATAATTCGACACGATCGACTCGTGATGAGCTCGTTTACTTATAATTAATTCTCCAAAAGTATTTACGAATTAATGACCGCCCACCGCACATTTGACATTTTCAGTTCATATTTAATAGCACTTTGTACGGAACTGTTTGAATGAACGTGTTCATGTCAATTCGTTGCGCATCGCGGCTGAATATTTTTCAAACAGAGACATTGCGCAACGTTTTGCTCCGATGTAGCAGGATTATAAAACTGGCGTAATCCGGAGGATTTTACAGTTTACGGTTTGTTTCGATCGCCAAAAGAGACGCGGTCGAGCCGGTCAGGAATTTGAAGGCTGGGAAAAGCTTACAAAAAGTAAGGATGCTTCTTGCACAGGCGGTGACGTTCGTCGTCGCCGTCGTCGCTCTCGCCGGCGCTGCCGAAGAAAAAAAATGCGAGAGAAACATCCTGTGGACCGGCGGTTCCTTCGAGTGGCCTTGCCCGGTCACGAAGAGCATGTTCCAGAATAGTGGTCGTTACATCTCGAAGAATGTCCTCGCCACTAGGGCTGCGATCTACAAGGATGACGCCATCCTGGCTTTACCTAGGTATGAAATGCATAAATGTAAACTTATAATGTAAAAATAAGCTTATAATATATTATAAATAGTCAAGTATTTTTATTTTATATTTTAGATTTTTATTTTATATTTAAAATTTTTTAATCTTTCGATTAAAAGGCATAAAATTATAAGGCTTAAAATTATAATTAGAATTGACTTTAAAAAGAATTAAACATATATATTTTGATTGAGTATAACTTTTCAAATTATATTTAAAAACATTCAATCAAAATTTGTATAGACATGTATATATCAAGAAATATTTGAAACAGGTTTCATTGAGTTGATTTATAAAAAAAAAATGTGAAACGTGATCTCGTGAGTAGCAAAAAGCATACCGTGGCAAGTTTACAGAAGTTCCACAATAGCAATTTTTTTAAAT